TCATTCAGTTTTCTTGAATATTAATCATGACATTTCTTCATTTTAATTTTTATTAACTTACAGCTTTTAATTTTTATTAACTTATAGCTGACTTTTCTTCCTCAGAAATACTGAACTCCAGGAAAAAAAAAATTAATTACTTAGATTATATTGTTCTCTGCTAATATTTACACACATTGCTCTTTAGCATCAACATATCCGTGAGAAACTTATTCCACTGCAGTGGAAGGGTCTTCTAGGAGTTCCTCTTAAAACTCAAAAGCTTAGGTTAAGTCATCGATGAAACTCTCATATTCTTGCAGCAGACATTAACAAGCAGACATTTAAAACCACTGCAGCTAGATTTCAGTTCTAGAACACATCAGATTACACCAAACAACACGAATTTTCAAGTTATTTCCCAGAGGAAGACCATGCCCCTAACAAAGTCATCACACTCCTTCCTTCAAATGTTTCCTCCACTTATCTGTCAGTTTAAATATTATGCTTCCTTATGATGAATATTATGTAGGCTGTCAGCACAAGAAATATACATTTTAGGAATGAAGAACAAATTATGTCAGAGCTGAATTAATTTTGGTTGTTTACCAAGTGGAGTTGTCCCCTTCCTTATGGCAAAACAGTTTAGTTGCTTCCTCCCACCCTCTGCTTCCACCATTTTTATTTTATGCACCTAGATCCCTTGGAAGACGGGGTTACAAGCCCACATCACCCTGCCCTTAGTGGAGTATTTTTGGTGGAGGCCTCTTGCAGAAGTGTTGGCAGAGCACCCATGCGTTGACCTTGCTTTTGCAGTAATATACCATGGTACCTACTTAAAGAAAGCAATGAGCAAGTTGACCATGATGATGTATTGCACAAAGAGATACACAGCTTGGAGGAACGGTGTGAGGAAGGAGCCAGGAGGACAGTCTTGGTTGGATTCGCAAACTGAAAGTAAAGGACATGCAAACCACAGTCAGCAAGGAAATCAGCAGAGCAATGGTATGGGCTCCACACTTGCACCAGTAAGAAACAGGACAGTCCCAATTACTGCCATGGAGTTACGTTATTTAATTTCTGATTGAAGAGACTACCTCTGCGTAAGGGAGATGATCTGAGGCCTCTTCACGACACTACCATTCCACAGTTTCCATTGCAATACAGAAGCTCTAAATACCATTTGTTACATAGCAGTTCTTACACCAGTAACAGACTTGTTAACAGGAAAATGATGAAACTGTAATATAAGCTGGAAATGGTACATGCTCAAGAAAACTGAAATCCAGACCATCAATCGTTAAAGCAAGTAACATAGACTTCATCGACTCGAGTGTGGAAAGAATAAGGCCCCAGGACTACTTCATCAATCCTGGAGTATGATTCCTATATAGCTTCAGTTAGAACATATTAACTCATGTGTAAACGGATATATGGCTATGGATATTTGTGAGATGATGCAATGGTTCATAGAAACTAAGGGATCCCTCTTAATGTTTTTAAATTGACAAAAAAAATTTAACATTTTTAATTTTTTAATCAAATTGTGTACCTCTGAGGTTTAGCATTGTTAAGTGATTAAATGGATTAAACTGTGAAACTTAACAGCGCACTTTTATTAAGAGCATTTTGACTTAGAAAAAACTGTTTCTTAATCAAGATATATAGTCATCACATGACTGTTTCAGGAATAATAACATATGCAACATGCTTCATTATATAAATGAAGCAGACCTGTGCTGAACTATGTATCTTAAATATCTGTATCTGTTTGTTTACCAGCTTTTCCATTTTAGTGACTGCTTTACTTGCATCCACCACTTAGCAGCATTTAAGTACCTTGCAGCTGCAACGATGAAGCCCTTCCTGCAGTGCCTGGCTCTTCTCTCTTATTATGATAAAGTCAAAACTATGAAAGCAAGGTGTAACATCTTTTTAATTTCAATTGATTTGCTACATGTAACTGGTTGATTTGTCTAAGAATGATGTCTGCTAATACAACTCTTATTACGATGAAAAATCCTTTCCTCTCTCTTTTTTTCCCCCTTCTCACTCCTTTTATTTTTTATGGCAACTTTGCAGTCTTTCTCTAGAAGATGAGCACTGTTGGATTAGCTTAACTGGAAATTCATTCCACTGACAGCTCCCCTGACCAAGAATAAGCCTAATATTAGTCTCTGTGTGCTTTGCTCTGACCTTTTTAATATATTTCTTTTCAAAAGTTACCTTTGGAGGCTTTAAAGCTTAATATTCATTTTAAACAAAGAAATTAACATTCTCACCTTTATTCATACAATATTAAACTAATTAAAGCCAAATATGTACATTAGAATCAAAATTATTTGAGCAAGAATAGACCCAACATGCGGTCCAGGCTTTAAGAGCCCTAAGTGGTCATAGTTAAGCACATATTAAATTTAAGTTGGTGAGCAGTCCTATGAAAATTACCTACCATCTATTTCTCCAGCATAGACTTCACCAAATATCATCCAGTAGGGTTGAAACACAATATCTCGTGCCAGAGTCCAAGAAGGAGGCTCCTCTGGGGAAAGGATTGCCTTTCGTGACACCCCAAAACTCAACAGGACTATGGCCATCATGATCACAATATAGAACATGTTTGCTGTCTGTGTGGAAAAATTATGTTAATTATATGTAAAGGAGACATACATTTTAGGAAGAAAAATCATTCACAACTTTTACAAATAGGAATAGAAAAAATAGTATTAATAATCTAATCTGCTAGAGGAAAGAAAAATATTTTATTTCTATGAACTGGATTATCCACATGTTCTCTACAAGTTAAATTCATTCTGGACTAAAAAGTCTTCAAGTCCTACTCACTTAAGACCTTCTTACGGTCTTAAGTAGAATTTAAATAATGCAGAGACCTGTGTTGGTTCTCCTCTTCAGTCGTATGTTGTTTCAGAGAACAAGGAATATCAAGGAAAACGATTTTGCCTTCTACCACTGGATCAGAATTACTATGCAAAACAGAATACAGAAGTATTAATAAGACAGTTCCCAATAACCATGAAAAATTACAGAGGGAATCTGCAGATGTCCCTCAAGACTCAGCAGCAGTTCAGCAGCAGTTCTGATACCAAAAGAAAAAAATTAACTTTGATCTCAGAGAAATTTTGCCTGCTAAAAATGGGATGTAATTATTTGAATCAAAATGCAAAAAAATAATGAGATGATAGTTTCCAAGAGCTAGGGGAATTATCTATAGTACTGAGCCCCTCTGCCAAAGACAAAGATTTTTCTTCCTCCTATTATCAAGCTGGATCAGAAACTCAGCTCAAATGTAATGCTTCTCTAAGAACCAAGTGAAAATGGCTTTTGTGAATAAATTCAAATAATGAATAAATTATAGAGAACTGAAATCTGACTGCTAACTCACAAACAGAAAGAACAGCAGTATTTGCAGGTAGTATATTCACTGAGAGTTATTAGGTCACCTCTTATTTGACTACTATTTTTTTCTAGGTTCATTTGTGACATTTACAGGTGCCTCAGTAGACACCATAACTATAAAAATGTTTCTCCAAAGTGGAATACTTACCATTTTCCCAATCATTGTCAGGTATGGGCCAGCATGCTGATTTACAGCAAAAAGATCAAGGAGCCGTGCATACCAAAATATTATACCCAGGCAGTAAAGTACCCCCCCTGCCGTTTGAACAGGTGGGTTGAACCAGCGCAAGCCAAAACCAATTATAAACAGGATGATAGCTATAGAATCAGTAAAATTCCAGTATTCATAAATCCACACCTTCACTTTTTGGCTGAATTTTCCAGGCTCTGAGATAAATACCTGAGCAGAATGTGGAAAAAACAACAGAAGCTCCCTTAAAATGACTGATATATTCTTTAAACTTTTCCTGTCGAGCAGTTTCATAATATTTAGGAATGTACCCTTTTTTTTCTTTTTTTTTTAGCAGCTCTGCATATTACTACTGCAAATCACTGTTTACTGAGGTTTATATTGAATCCATAATGTCATATTGCTCAAGCATGCTACACCAAATAGAATAGGTCTTTCTAAGGAAAAATGACTTCTGATACTGAACCGTTCACTGAAAAGCACATTCCTCAACAGAAAAGAACAGGCACTACAGAACTACTATGCATATGTATTGTTATAAATTAATTAGTATTTTCTAGAGAACGGTCATGACCTGCAACAGCCATTTCAAAAGCCCCTAAGTCATGGAAAATGCCAACCCAACCTTGCTGAGAGGAAAATAATTAATGTATCTTACTTTAGACCAAAAATATAAAGCAAGATCCTTGCATTCTGCCAAGGACACGCTAAAAAAAGGAGTGCTGGCAACTAGCAAGTTAAAGAATGAAATGTTCGCTCCTTGAACTCTTGAGATGCCCCAAAGGGATTTTAAGCTTCACTGAGCAAATGTGTAAAGTGGAATCTTTGGGAGGCCATAAATAAAACCTTTACACCTTACGTGAGTGAGGCCAATTATGCAGCGCTAGGTAAGATCACACCGATAAGTAGCAAGTGAAAGAGAGATTTTGAACTGTTATGCCCTGATCCTTCAAGAATTTACGCACAGGAACACGTTTGCACAAACAAGTGATCCTACTGAACTCAGCTGGATTAAGCCACATAAGTACCTGGTTGCAGGATCAGGGCCTAAAGGCTTTAACAATTATTTGATATAATCTAGAGAAATATGGGCTTACACAGTCACATATAGCAAGGCCTTCAGCAGTTAATTAGGTGCATGTGTAAGGCACAGTATCCTACAAAATCTTTTCTAGCAGTCTGGGGACTAGTAGACGGACAAAGAAACTCAAGTACAAGACATCAACTTCTAAGTGTCCAGTTAAGGTTAATGATAGAAAGAAGATACTGATGTTTACACCATCAATACAATGCAACAGCACAATAGCGATCTCCAAAGTACTTCCTATTTCATATCTGCTTTTCTTCTCAGTTAAACAGTCCTTGGGTATATTTCTTTCAATTTTATCTCATGCAGCCACTCATTTTCTGTTTTCGCATAGTTCTGAGTGATCTGACTACTTGAACAGCATCCTTTACTCAGAATTGATTTTTTTCAGTCTCTTATTCTCCTAAAAGTACAGCATTGCAAAAACCACATAAAAAACACTTCACAATACTATTGCTTATTATATGCCAATTCCATCCTGAAGACATGTCTGACCAGACAAAATAATTTGGGAAATACCTAGCTGCCTTTATCCTTAATCTTAGCTTTAGAGTGTAAGACACAAGCTCAGATTCAATCAACCGCAGTTAATGTGAATAATTTTGACTCACTATCATTTTTTCCTGCCCAGCTAATATGGCACGAAAATTTGATGGAGTTTTTCCAGTCTTGTTTCTAGGGCATCAGCTGGACTTGACAGAGACCCTTAGAAAATTTTGCATATAACAACTGCTAATTGACAACAAGGTTCACAGTCAAAGCAAAATCCTGAAGACAAATTCCATTTTCCTTATAAGTCTAATGGTCTATGCCAAAAATGATGAATTTACGAAAATGATGCCAAGACCAAGGACCCAAATCCCAATTCAGCACCACGACTTTTCAAGCAACCTGCACACTACCACTGGCGCCAAGAGATTTAAGGACAAACTTTAAAATCTTTTTTTAAGGCTCAAGTAGTGATCTTCAGGTAAAAGACTTCGGAAGCATAAAGGCCATGTGCATTTATTTTCCAGGCCACGCAAAATTCTGTGCAGGAAGAACGTAGGCTATGGTATTCTTATAATATACCCTCTGAAGATGAGAAGTAGGAATGGAAAAGCTTACCTCCCTGACTTTTTCGATGCCAGTGCTGAAAATATAAACAATAACAAGCCACTCTTGCACACTGGGTCGTGGTTCCATCTTCACCAACACAGTATATGTGAAGAGCATGAGAAAAGCCATGTACGCCATCTACAAAACACACACTACATATTCCAGATGCACAGGCAGCTGTAACAAAAAGCTCAGCAGAATTCTGCAAACATATTAACAAGTATTTTGCATGAGAAAATGCATTCAAATTACTGGGACACTGTCAAATTTTTGAGCCCCAAATCTTTCCTCTAGCTCGCCAAAGTTTTTTTTTCTTTTTCTTTTTTTTTTTAGTATGCGGAATACCCTTAAACATGATTTTAAAATTGGCACTTTAGCGTTGAAAGAACTGAAACAGAGGATGAACTATTGTCCTAAGCTGCATGCAGTGCATGTCCACCGGGGCCTTAACCCCACAATGTCCAGAGTTGAGACAGAATATTATATCTGTCTGCCATTACTTGGATGTAAAGGCAGTACTAGCCTTTTATCCTAAACTTCTGTAGGAGCAAGTAACCATTCCCAAAGCTAAATGTAATGCTGCTAGCTTATCAGTGCCTGCCAAAACACAGAAGGAATAATATCAGGTGGAAAAAATATATTTTAGAATATACTGGAAACATACCTGAGATAATAAACTAAGAAAATATAAAGCAGTTGACCACAACCTTTTAAAGGAAAAACAGTTTATGCACATTGCAGTCTTAAAGATCTCAAGTTCCACAGATACAGGGTTAGTTGCCAAAACTGATTTAATAAACGCATATTTCTCTGTGGTAAACTATATCCTATATCAAAATTAACTCTTTCAGAAACAGTTTCTAAAGAAAGGGTCAAGAATATGTGTGAATTTTTATGTATTTAAGGTCAGGTTCAAGTTTATCTCTACAGATGCAATTAACTACCAAAAAAAAACTGTCCTGGGATTTTCCTTTAGTCCCCTAGAATCTGATTTTTTTACCGCAGCTGCACAATTCTGGCTGAAAAAACTTAATTGTGAGGGAAAAATTCAAATGCCTTCCCATTCCCCACCACCAAGTGCCTGCAAATTAGTGTTAGACAAAGGAAATGTGGTATCTAGTGATATTTAAAGGATCAGAAGAGGACTTTGGCAATCTGAGTTCTAGCGCAATGACCAACCGTGTGAAACCAGAACTTGACAATTGGCGCATTGTAGAACTCATAGATTTTTCTAGTTCCAGGAAGGCTTCCTTGTCCACTGTTCACTTGGCCTTCGTTGGACTTCTGAGGTGCCTTCTCCACATCATAATCCTTAAGAGGAAATAGTATTTTAAAAGTAAGAAGCCATGGTGTATGACTGCAAAAGTTGTGCCACGTTAGCAGGAAGACAAGGACACATGTTTAAACTTTGTTCTAAGTTAGAAGCATCCTGATTTTTTCCTGCTGTAACCATCTCATCTGCAATAATTAACGCATCCACTTTTCTCATATAATCATTAGAGTTTGATCTTGCAATTAAAGCCAGTGGACTGGGCATCAGCAAACCTGAACCCACTCCTGTTTCTGACACAGATTTCTGTCAGTCTTTTAGCAAGTCACTTACTCCCTCTCCTATCTGTAAAATATGGATAAAAATTCCCAGTGCAACAGAAGTGGCTTGGCTAGAAACCCATTGACAACTGTAAGGCTCTCAAAATACGGGAAGGAGTATCACAGTTCAGCACTTTGTAAGGTCAGAATACGGTCACACAGAAAAAGCCAGGGCAGTGAAATTGTAAACATGGAACCCGATTGCTATTTTTCATGTACATCTGATTAGAAGATGATGAAGTAAGTACTCTCTCATAAAGGTCTGCATACAAAAAGAATAATGTAACAAAGAAGCATAACTTCTTCATTAATCTCCCACAAAACAAAAAGAAAAGACAAGACACACTAATTCTACATCCAGAGCTTGACACCTAATCCGAGTAGTCTACTGAAGGTACAAACTTCTGAGGTGCTGTTGAAGCCTAAGAAGAGCTGTAGATCCACAGCTGTGGGCAACTGAGACAACCAGGTGATGCTACATTTTGAGGGATGGAGGGAACTACAAACAGCTTATAGCAGTGCAGCACTGAAGGAACCAAACTACCTAGTTTAATTTTGTTTCAGGGCTGGCTAGCTGCCTTGGCTAGTAGCAATGCTTAAATCTACTGCTACTAGACATTTACAGTATAGCATTTTTCCTGTGACATGGAGGCTTGTGACATTTCCCTGGGTAAATGGGGGAAAATGTAATTTATGCATCATCTTAGACTCAGAAATGTGTTAAAAAGAAAAAATTTGATATACAGAATCACCCTGATATCTTAACACTGGGATTCTCTGAGGTGAAGGGGAGAATTTGTCCCGTGAGCGAGTGCAATTTTCAGTCACAGTAGGTCAGTGGAATTTGACTGTGTGTGAAAAACACCCCATGTAGCACACATGCAGTGTTGAAATTTTCTATACTTTTTTCTACTGCATTTCATATCAGACCGTTTAAGAAGTGGTAGCTCAGCCTTATGTTTTAAACACTACTCTACATTAGCTAAAAGAGGAAGCTAAGCTTATTTTGCTGGCTCAGAAAGGAAGCACTCTTGTTTGAGGCAGGTCAGACAAACACTTACACCTGTTGCTTTGTTGCCTCCCACCAGGCTGCAGGCGGCCCCTGCTGCAAACGATTCTAACTGGCCTTTTCTCTGTATCATAGCTGTTACCTAACCCCACAAAAGCCTTTTTGAACTGAGTACATTAGACAGGCACTGCAGGGGGTAAGTGCTTCAAGCATTTTTTTGCATCAGAGAGAGAAAACACACGCATGGCATTGACAGCTTGGCCGTACAGCTGGGAACATCCTCGAGAACTATCCACTCGCTTTTATTTTATGCAAACTGAAAGTTAACGGAGAAGGTCCCAAGCAACCCACAACACTTATCTGCTGTAGGCAGAGCAAATAAGATTGCCTGACACATCTCACTGACAATCCTCCTTTCATTTCATTAGCGCTTCATCCACATTTACCTGTTTGGACGGAAATTCTCTGCGTCTGCTTTAGATCAAAAACTTTTGGAAAGTTTCAATGCAGAAAACGCCTTTGTTGAGAATCAGGAAAAGGATGGCTATGTAACTCTGCTTAGTAGAAATCTACAGGAATTCAGATCTTAAAAGGCCAAGATTTCACCTACGTTGGTAACAATCTACAGTCAGGTTTAAGGAGGACTTTTGTGCAACTACAGCTCCCTGCAGAGTGTTTCATGTCTCACTTCAGGTGATTAAACCAAAAGCAGAATCCTTCTCCTGTGCTTTAAGTGATGTCTCTATTAGGCTTAAGAAATGCAGAAGTAGCGATTCCCTTCTTTTGAAGAAGTAGGGCAGGAGCTGGAAGGGCTATGACGTAATTCGAGACAAGATATCTCAAGGAAAAACTAAGAGCAAAGGATGGCCATGGAGAGGGGGAGAGAGGCTGAGTGCCGAAACATGGAGCAAAAGCTGCTAGCCAAGCAGAATAGGAAGAACGAGTGAGGGGGAGATGCATGGGATGCCATTCTCGCTCTTGGATATTCTCAGTTCTGGTGTCTCCCTACTTTGGAGTGCTTGACTATGCAAAGTGAATCGAGTTTTATAGATGCAGTCTTGTATACGACATGAAACCATTGTCAGATTATACAGAATATAAGATTACGTATGTATTTTTTCTGCATCTTCAACAGACCTTGTGCCCTGTAATACATGTATAACCACAGTTAACTATAACCTCATTACACTCCTGTAAAGTTAGGAAAAATTTTCTCAGTAATTACGAATAGGGAAGAGACACCCAGGACAGATGAAGTGAGTTGTTCAAGATCATACAAGAAGTCTGCGTCTGAAGCAGGGACTCAACCCCAATTTCCAGAGAGACAGGCCCCAGCATTTCCAGCTGATCACCCCTCCTCTCCCTTCAGAAATACACTGTCGTAAAGTGAAAGACAGTGGGACACAAATGACTAGTCCCTGCAGACTGACCAGAGACAAGGCATCTTTAGCGCTGGGTGGGCTCTCATCCCCATGGTACCATGTGAACTGGTGGAAGTCTTGAGACTGAGGCACATGAGACATTTCTGCTTTGCTTTTAAACTCCAACATCAAGATGGTGGGAGGCAGAAGAATACTTATAATGACCTAAAAGAGAAAAATAAGACTTAGCAAACTAATTCGGCTTTGTCGGCACAGACTTGAGGCCAAAGCCAGCTGTGCACGGGGCCAGCACAAACCCAGAGCAATTCCACTGACTTTGGAGGAAGCTGCTGGGGCAGGAAACTGCATCACACTCCTACAGCCTCTGAAGTGTGTTACTCTTGACTGTTTTGTGGCTTTTGAGAGAGTTAGTGGTATCTGAGGATACTGCAGATACTGCCCTTCATGTCAACAGTGCATTTCTCCCACCAGCAGCTCTGCTGGAAAAGCAGGTACTGCAGGGCAGCAGGTGTGGGTGGGGAGGGTGCCAAGGGAGTGGGAATACCTGAAGAAAACTCAGGAGATGCATTCTCCTATTGTGACCCCCCAGCTATTTTCTCAAAAAAGGGAGAACAGCAGCAGGAACTGTCCTCCCTTCCCCCCTTTTCTTCTCTTCCCCAGATGTGCATCAGTTCCAACACATGCTGGAGCATGTCTGTCTCATGCTACAGTAAATCAGTTCATAACCAAGGAGACATCTATAAAGCATCTAAACGTTAAGGGAAAGCTAAAGGAAATGAGGTTACCTTAAGCCAGGAGTTCTTCCGCATCTTCAGGCGTCCCATCCACATATCAGTCAGCAGCATCTGTGTGCAGGTATGAGACACAAAAGGCCGCAGTCCCACAGACACCGCCAGCTTTAAGCAAGTTGAGTTGCTCCAGTTTTTCAGTTCATAGGTCAGCAACTTCATGGCCATCTGCTCATCTTGTTTGAATGCTTTCTCGAGCACATCCAAAGCAAGCTGCCCAAATTCCCTAGAACAGCAAAGAATTAGCATTCAACACAAAAGGCATCAACCAAAATTCAAAATCAATGGTACGAAGAGGTTGGTTTGAAAGTTCTGTTCAGCTAACAATTGCAGTAAGTATGCCTTCTGCCATTTTTACCACTGCTTTATCAGCAAAAAATAATTCAGGGAATATCTAAATATTTATTCCTAATCATAAGGTTTAGTATGATCCTGGTTTCTGTTTCGTGATTGGATTCTTTCTTTCTGTGATCCAAATAGACCCTGCAAAAGTCAGCGTACTTCCTTCAACAACAGACACGCCATCACTGTGGACACACATGGCAGGTAGTTGCAAAAGCCCCTTTTTTACACTGGCTGTTATACACCCCTTTAGGAGAGACTCCTCAAGGACAATATGCCTTCCTTTAAAAGGATCTTTGGAGCTGCATGCAAAACAAGACAGCACATTGTACTGTACTCTGAAGCTGGGGCATTATGTTTACAACAGCATACAATATGTCACTAACAATAAAAATTATCAGAAGGGAATAAAACAAAATTACAAACTTGAAGGAAACAGTTCTGGGTCTTTTTCATTTTTGATTCACTGAGATATTTCAGTATATCTTTTCTTTAGGTCTTACGCAGAGTAGGATTTGAATTTGCTTATTACCATGTGCTATATGTTTGAAAAAGCAACACAGATGTACTGTATCGCTTTTTAACATGTTAAACTGGTATTCAGGGCTGTAAGGGAAATTTCAATCTCCCATTTGATTCCTTAGCACATAGAGAGGTATGAATTTCTCACTTATATTTTAATTTTCAAATATGCAAATAGCTAACATACTAAGTATTCCTTTAAATTTCGACCAGACTGTGTGCTAGTATAGAGCCCCGTTATATACTGTGACTGGCGGGCAGCTGGAAGTATTTCTTTTACACTCCATAGTCTGTAGCACCACTAATCAGACAAGCTCTTAGTGGATTAGAAAAATGTCTAACCATTCTAAGCACTGCAGATCTTTATTAACTGAAGTGAAGGGAGAACTCATACTTTGAGTACTTCTTAAGCTCCTCTGATGTGTCGTCCACCATGTTGCTCTGTTTAGCTTCATGTGCCATCGCCCGGTAGAGTTTGCAAGCGACAACAGCCTTGACCATGGCTTCCTCTCCATGCTGCCAGAAGAACATTGCCATCTTCTGTCTTTTCATTAACACTGCCCAAACCAAGAGGTCATTATAGGGATAAATAAAGCCAGATGACTCACAGTCTTCTGCAAAGTTTATAAACTCTTTTGACTTCTTCTTAGACTTATGGAAAGCAGTGGATCTTTCCTATAAAGTTGTTTAAAGAAGGACAGAAAATCTGAATGAAGTGCTGAGGTTCAGATTCATGTAATCAAATTTGCATGCAAATTTGAATTGCAAGTAGCAAATGATTTGACCATTATATATCTCATTATATACACGTTCAGATAATCAATGGTTAGAAGTTGCTTGCATCAGTGGAGGAAAAACACCTCTTTCTCAGTGATCTGTACCTCTGCCATTTACTGCCTGCCCTTCTACAGTGTTGGGCAGTCTCCCAGCTCCTTGATAGCAGTGTATTAATCTTTTAATATTTTCTTGTAGTTGCGTCATGACAAGAGAGAAAAATAATCAGCAGACTAAAACATGCAACAAATTTGTGATAGTTAAAGGTGATTTTTGATGTCTCTCACATTTGCAGTGTAAATTGCCATACGTTCATGTCAAGATATTTCCCCATTAAAGACAAAGCAAAAGCTCTATGGGTTTAAGTAAAGCACACTTCAGGCTGTCTCAGTGCTATAACGGGTTCCGTTTGGCTCAGATTAATTCTAATAAAGTCAATTAAATTAATTTAACTTTAGGTATTGTCTGGCACATGCGAGTATGTGGGGATCTTTGATTTTTACCAGTCTTTTTTTTAAACAAAATATTTTGCTGTCTTTTTCCAGATAAAAGAACTATAGCTCTTCTTAGAAGGCTTACTATAGCTACTTTAATAAGGAATCATGAGACAATATTGTGAAAGTCAGATAATTCCTATTATTGCTTCCAAATAAGAAGAGTTTTTACCCGCGCTCTGTGCTCAGAGATTTTATGTTACATATTCAGTGAATGAAAGCCCTTATCAACAACTAAATGGAAGTTTAAAAGTATCATGGGAGGAATCAGAGCTTGAATTCAACACTAAAATTGCAAGTCCTGTACTTCTTGAACTGTGTGCAATGAAACACCTTTTCCATGGGAATTTAAATTATGATAAATAAATAACAAGCCTGACTAGCATATGTTTGAAATAAATCTCTCAGCAAACTGATTAGCAGCATAATATGTCCAAAGGTAAGTCTAGAACAAACAATTACATTACCTTGCATTTGTAAGGCTGTGCAGTTCTGAAGAACTGATTATGCAAAGTATTTTCAGGAGATCCCATTCTGCTACCCATGTGATTGCTCTGATGAACGGAATGATGAGACAGGCTCTGAGAAAAACTGGAAAGCACTCTCTAGATCCAAAGGTACACCAGAAAACACAAAGAAAGAAATGAAGATTAGGGATGAAGTTTGCCTGCATTTACCTCTGATTTCAATGGTGCCTGTGAAAACTGACGTCATTCAAAGACTAGTGAGATAGTTATCACTGTAACTATGGCTGGAACTTATGCCATTACGGAAACAATGGCCTGTATCCCATCTAAAAAGTAAAAATACTTTTCTTAATTTCTAACAGACAAAATACTGATTTCCCCAATAGCATCCACCAATTAAAACAAAAAAAAAGCATTGAATAACCAAAATGAAAGCACCTAATCTGGAACCTCTTCTCAGTGCCTACCCTTAAAAAAAATGCCATAACTGCTTTAAGAAATGGAAGTTTTCTGGACCTTCTGTTTATCATTTCTTCTGAACGATAGCATGTCTAGCATCCCCGAGCATTCTGTTCTGTATTATCTCAGAAGGAAGAATGTGACTGGCTGAATCATTAATACTCATGTCTGCAGTTCCTAGTTTTATGAAAACGTGGTTTCACTCATCCCTGCACAGGCTGGACTTCATGAGGTCACAGTGAAGAGTGTTACAGCAGCTCAGATATCACTTTTTAGGTATTATAATAAGTCAGCTACACACACAGGAAGCTCTATCAGAGTGTTTCTGCTTACTCCAGGTCATAGTTTTCAATTTTTCTTCTCATTTCCCTTCATCACCCTCAGATTTTTCTGCCAGCCATGAAAGTAAGACACAGGGATGAGGGTATTTTTTGTTTTACATCTATATGGAAGTATTGTAATCAAAGTCCAGTTCTACTCTGAAAACCAGGGAGAGAAAACAGAATGCTCTTCTGCAGTAAATCTGCTCCTTCTTTGGCAGCGAGATTAACATCTGACTAATTTATTGAGAAGTTCAGGCTGTTTCCAACTTACCAGTTTTGGAAAATCAACAGGGGAAACAAGGAAGCTAGTATGTCTGCATGCTGTTGCTCTGAGGCAGTTTCATTGACAGTTGCTTGCTTGCAGAGGTGATGCTAACAATATGCATATACTACACAAGGCAGTGCCATACAGTGAACCACCTTCAGCGTCCAGGAGGCGCAAACCAGCACATATAGACAAGTGCAATCCTCTGCCTGCACAGAGTCACTACACCAGGAGTGCAGACCAGCAGAACACCGCCTGGGCAAAGACCAGGGCTTTAAGGAAATAGTGCTGCTAGGCAAATGCAGTTCATGAGCCGAGGCAAGATGATGCACTGCTATCACTGAACTGCTTCTAGAAGGTAAGATATTTGTTCAGAACATCAGTCAAGAATCTCCAGTGTCTCTTCACTTTGCCATGCAGACATCTTCTAATAGGCTACTTCAATGCCTGCTGAAGTCAATGATTTTTCTGTGACTTAGTGCAAGCACTAAGAGCAGAAAAAGCCTTCTTAGGTGGGATTGGTGGTTGGCACAGCCTTGAAGATCTTTATTGATGAATGCCAGAGGAAAGAACGCAACCTGGCTATCAGAGGCAAAGGGGACGCTGTTGACCTAGTAGTTTATTTAACAGTTATCAATAGTTTTGGCGGGGCAGGGGGGAGTAGTTTGGGGGAGATTTGTCTGTTTTATCAGCAAATTTATCACAGCTGATTAAGAGATCCATAAAACAGACTAAGCATGGAATACATTTAGCCAACACTTTTCAGTCAAACCACAATGATAGCCTGAGATGTTTTTAGGTGTTGTGTTTTGGCTTTCCTTGGTGACCAGCAGTTGCCATTTTGCAGACGTTTTACCTTGTGTTTTCTGCAGAGATTGTTGTACAGGATTCTGAAATGCTTCCTTGTGTAGCTGCTCCTGTAAGCTCCACCAAGGAGGTACTCTATCACCAGCCCAATATCAATTAGGGATATCTTGTAATCCAAGGGAAGGGTACTCTGAAACACCAAATGTCACAAGATTTTGCAATGCTATTTCATTTGCACGTCAGCATTTGGCAGTGCTATTCAAATGTACACTAGATATTTCACATAGTGAAGGAAGGCAGGGCAACCTGCTCTAGGTGACCCTGCTTGAGCAAAAGGGTTGGACTAGATGATCTCTAAAGGTCCGTTCCAACCTTAACCGTTCTGTGATTCTGTGAAGACCAGCTGCATTCAACAGTGAGGGCAACAATCCATCAACAAAATCACAAGCAGCCAGGCAGATCGGAAAGACTCTTGTTTCTCTGATAACAAGAGAAAACTGGCATGGTATGACTCGTTCATTAGCCAGTTTATTACCTAATCATAAATGAAGGAGAGTGTATGAAACATATTTATGTTTTATAATTCCTGGAGACTGGTGGCCTCTTGTACAGGCTCTACACTGTCACGATAACTAGGACAGCATCTGCGCTTACATTAGCCAGACCTTCTGAGCCTCTCACCGCTGCCATTTAAAGCACTGTCGCTTCCCAGTTTATCTATCTCTGCTGTAATTTCATGACACTAGGTTTGGCGCAGATTCTCTGATGAATATATTATCTTTCACAGGGTCTAGCTGGAGGCATATATCGAGCAGTATCCCCCAGGGCTCAATACTGGCTGCATTTTTGTTTAATTTATTCATCAGTGACTTGGATGAAGAAATAGAGCACACCCTCAGCAAGTTTGCCGATTACACCAAACTGGGAGTGGCTGATACACCAGAGGGCTGTGCTGCTATGCAGAAGGACTTCGACAGGCTGGAGAGATGGGCGGAGAGGAATCTCATGAAGTTCAACAAAGGCAAGTCCTGCACCTGGGGAGGAATAACCTCAAGCAACAGTACAGGCTGGGGACTGACCTACTGGAAAGTAGCTGTATGGAGAAGGACCTGGGAGTGCTGGTGGACAACAAGTTAAGCAAGAGGCAGCAGTGTGGCCTTGTGGCCAAGAAGGCCAATGGGATCCTGGGGTGCATTAGGCGGAGTGTTGCCAGCAGGTCGAGGGAGGTGATTCTGCCCCTCTACTCAGCCCTGGTGAGGCCTCACCTGGAGTACTGCATCCAGTTGTGGGCTCCCCAGTACAAGAGAGACATGGCACTACTGGAGAGAGTCCAGCAAAGCACTACTAAGATGTTTAAGGGACTGTAGCATCTCTCATATGAGGAAAGACTGAGGGAGCTGGGCCTGTTCAGCCTGGAGAAGAGAAGACTGAGAGGCGATCTGATCAATGTGTACAAGTATCTGAAGGGAGGGTATCCAGAGGATGGGGCAAGATGCTTCTCAGTAGTGCCCAGCAATAGCACAAGAGGCAACGGGCACAAACTGAAACACAGGAAGGTCTGTCTGAACATGAGGAAAAACTTCTTTCCTGTGAGGGTGACAGAGCACTGGGACAGGTTGCCCAGAGAGGTGGTGGAGTCTCCTTCCCTGGAGATATTCAAAAGCCATCTGGACACAATCCTGGGTAATATGCTCTAGGTAACCTTGCTTGAGCAGGCGGGTTGGACTAGATGATCTCCAGAGGTCCCTTCCAAGCTCAGCCATCCTGTGATTCTGTGATTTCATGCAAGCTTTAACGATTTTCAGTAAAATCTTAAACTGTAGCTCTTGGAAGTGAAAAATGCAATAGATGGGCATAGATGGGACCAGAGGCGTTCTATATATTGCCAGTAGTCTATGCCTTTCAAACTGTGAAAAGCCATTTTCTTTATTAGATAGAGCTTTTTTCAATAGACTTTAGTGACAGCCCTCAGTCTAGCCAACTATCACAGCCCAGCCCAGGGAACGAGAGGCACTAGCATGTTCTGAGAGCTCTGCGGCAAAAATCGATCTCACAAGAGACACCTTGGCAGCTCTAGTGCTGAGAGTTAAGCAGGTATTTTTGTCCACCTATATTTGTAGATACTTCTCTGCACTAAAACATACACTATATGGTGTCAGGGTAGACGGCTTTGTTTCTCCACTCAGCAAAACTGGTCATAGTAACAGAGGTTATGTTCTAAAATCCAGGCTCACAGTTCTCTGGTGAGTGTCCTAACTACTGTATTATCCTATAAAAAGACTGTGACTGCACAACTTATGCACAGACCATCATATATACTTGAAAAAGTCAGGTGTGAAAGTTTTTTCAACATTTACACCCATCTGCAGGTCCCAACTGATTTTAGCTTAGCCACTGGAGTAAAAAATTTTAAAATTATGCACCCACATTCCACCTAAATTCCACTATTCCACTTTAAGCGCCCCTTTAGATCACACACTGAGATCTCCCAGAATGTCCTGAGAGGTAACCAGGCTGAGAGTTTTAGGAGAGGGATCATATCAAGGAGCCCATCACTTCAGTTTGAGTGAGAAAGACAGACTTGTCAGCCTGGAAAAGCTGAACGTATTTTCAGTACAAAGATCTTCCAGGTTCACCACATAAATTAGACCTCAGCTGTACAGGACAGTACAGGAAGCAGCTTGCCATGGAGACCAGAATACCCTTACATCTATCCATAGTGGCATCAGTAAGATTGGCATTAAGGTCACCCTCAATACGAAAATCATACCAGAAATGCCAGTACTTGATAGCAGGCAACTCTGTAAACAGCCAGATTTGCCATTTTATTTTATATCAGTGTTCATACCCTGGGAAGAATTAGCCAATTAATCTAGTTTTGGATCTAGGCATCTCCTAGAGTGGAGACTAAATGCAAAAAGAAAAGCTCATCCCTCCTTGGGTAAGCAATACTGGGATTTGTAACAGATAACAGAAACATAAAACAAATTAACTGCATAGCTAAATAATTACGCTGCCCCTAAACTCCTAAATCAGCCAGTGCTCCATGCAGTAGTCATCCACTGCCACCTTCTGTTCTCCCAGGCACTGCAGCACACACAAAAAATGCTGCATCTTGTCACAGTATCTTTCTGCTACTGCTTAACAAGGAAAGACTTTTTTAGCCTTGGGGATAAAAAGAAAAACCTCTGAGCAATGAGCGTAATTACTGCTCTAATTCGCTAAGCCCCTTCTACAGTCACTGCATAATGTCACTTTGGTAACTTAAGAAAGGGATAGTTTCATCTATACAAACTGCCTGGCTTTCAAATTAAGGTATGGGTCTCCTGGGAGCATTTGGTGGTAGTTAATTGCTTGCGGGGATTCGTGAGATGAAGATGAACCTCCAGATATAGGACTGTAGTCATGAACCCATCACTTCTATTCCTAAACACTCTCCACTATCATCTAACAGTCGTGTGCCACCGGACAAGGAAGTTTTAAGTATCGTTCTTTGCTCCTCAGCCTTTCCTAAGTATATTACCTGTTTCACATCTCGAACTAGGTGATGCAGCAGTAGATTTGATGGTCCTTGTTTCTGTGATGTGAAAAAAAAGAGAGTAAACGAACATGTCTCTCTGTGTTTGAAAGTCAAGATTGTGAAACAAAGCTAGAAGAACTTCACCATAAGCCTCTGCTATTCAAGCTCCCCTAACAAATGTCCTCAGAAGCATTTAAATACCTATCTGCAACATTTCTTTTATCTTAAACCTGGTCATATTTTAAAAAGAATTTAATATCACCTTGGTTAAACAGTGGACCATTTTCAGCAAGATAAACATATATCACAAATCAAATTAAAATCAGAATATATTTCACGAGTTAATTTCTATATTCAGTCTGGGTCAATGAATTCATTGACCTGAGTCAACGAATTCCAAAATAAAAAGCTGGGATAGCAATCCAAAAATCCAACTTTACAGTCAAAATTGATCAAAAAATGTTCATTTATAACTTTTTTCCAAAAGCCCTTCTTTAAAATATGGCCTTATTATCTAATCACTTAAGAACTAATCACCTAATCACAAGAAAAATGTTATTCTCTCTACACATTCATTTCTACAAGTTATCTGTGTGTCATTTTGTATACTGGGATTTCAAACACTCACCGTATTGTAAAGCTCTTCCAGTCGAGATATGGTAAGAAAACGGTGCATGTTCACTCCATGCTCTATTAACAGCTTCACAAAATCTACACGATCCATCACTAAAGCATCCAGCATTGCTTGTTCCAAGGCACCAACCTCCAGAAGGACAGGAATAAGCAAAAGAGATTAGAAAAATATTACCTAAAAATATTACTATGATTTATTTTTGGAAATCAATAAAACATTCCTTAACGGTTCAGGATCTCTCTGTCACGGTGATCTGCCTTTAGGTATATTTAAAGTGTACGATCTAAAAGAAAAATATGGTGGAAGAAGCATTTGTGTAAAAAGAGAGGGGGAGAAAAACTGACTCGCCATAAACCAAAAAGTCTGTAAAGACTTCTACAAATCTAACTTTACAGCCAGTCTCCAACAATACCTCTCCAACCCTTTAATTCACTTCAGAAGCTAATGTACGATAATGACGGGAAAAAAATCTTTCTTTTTTGACATACGACAAAAACCCTTTCAAGGTACTATATTTCAAGATCTTCCTATAGAACTTGAAGTTCTTTAACGTAGATTTCTTTTCCAATATGAGAAAGGATCTGTGGTAGGGTAAACTCTGCAAAAAAGTCACTGCAAAAAAGAGTTCTACCTACAACAGTATCCAAACTGGGGAAGCACTCTAGTCAAAGTACTTGCACAGAGCGCAACAAGATTTCTCGATGCAAAATACAAAAGGAGTTGAGAACACGATGAACTATGACAGCAAAAGAATAGATTTCTACAGAACACTCATGCACAGAAAATGCAGCTGGGTGTGAAAAACGAGAATCTTGGCATACAAACAGGGCAGGTACTAGCACTAACTTGGTATGTGAAGCTGGTCTTTCGTATATTTATTTATATTTGCTGGATTTTTGCGACATTAAAAGATGATCAGTAAACATTACAAAAGCAACGCATGTCAAAAGAAAGCCTGTGCAATGCTTATGAATTATCAGCATTTCTTTCAGAAATATCTCAAGTGACCCTTCGTGGATTAAATTTCCTAGAGCAGTCATTCCTTGGTCTGGCAGTGTGTCTAAAGAGGTTTAGACAGCCGTCTGGTAACTACTAGAATGACATTCTTTGTTGTAAAGCCCACTTGAGACTGAGCCAACCTTTAAGCAGAAACATAGTAACAGCTGATTATAATCCTTACCTTGTGAATTTTTAGGACCAGACTTCTAAAAAGAAATGCCCACAATAGGAATATAACCATGCATGTTTCCTTGAAATACTTAAATACATAACAAAAACACTAAGACTGCATGAACAGTCACTTATAGATTGCTGCTTAAACATACATTTCCAAATTTGAACACGTGGTCACAATAACCATGCAGAAACTGTAGATCTTTACAATTGTACAGGGGTGGGGAGGAATTACTCCTCATTAATTAAGAATGCAACTAAGCAACAAGAGAGCTTTAGAATAGTATTTATGTTTTTTGTTTGGTTGGGGTGTTTTGCTTCTTTACAATGTATGAAGAAAATATTATTATGTAAGATCTTTACCTGCTCAATGGGAAAAAAAAGGAATATATGCCTTTCCAATTTTTTGCTTGGAGAAGCAATGACAGATGTAAGAATTTTTTATTATGAGCTCTTTACATCTTACTTGAAGGGGAGAACATATTCATTATTTGACAACGGCTTTTTCATTCAAAACGACACTGAATAATTGCACTGAAGTAGATATGAACCAGTACAAAAATCTGTTTCGAGCACATCAGAAGCAGAGGAGGAGGAGCAGTGGGACTGCCAGCAAATCTGTAAGGCTGAAAGATGATTAAGGTAGAAAAGAAATACTCAAGGAGATAAGGCTATTGCAGAAATCGTAAATTAATTCTGTGCCTTACTGTTCACTACAGAATATGTTACCAAAGTTCCTACATCAAAGCTGTTCTTTATGGAATACAAATCTGAGGAACTGTGTCAAACTGAAGTGTCAGTAGAAAAGATTTCAGAAGTCATCAATAAAATGATAGCAAATTGTCAGGACCAAGTAGTATTCACCTAAGAGTGCCCAGGGAACTGCAGTGTAGCTGAAATCAGCCTCTCTGCCAGCAGACTGCAAAATGGTAAAAAATATGCCAATTTTTAAAAAGGATACAGGTGCACATACTGTTCAGGTACTGCATATCAATACAGTCAGAATTTTGTACGAACAAATATAATGTAACTCTGATAAGGAATAGCACTAATAGGGACATGTGTAAATATGAAACAGTAAGGAGAACCAACACAATTTGTAGAGTGAAATCATAAAGCTACTGGAGATTTTTCAGGGAGTCAATGAGGATAAGGCTGTCTGATTGATAGAGTACTTTTGTAGCCCCTAAAAAACTTTTGATAACAGCTTTCCTGAAGTTCTTGTAAAGGAATTCTACTGTCACAAGATAAGTGTGCTCTCATTGATTAATAAGTGATCAAATGATAGGAAAAAAAAAGAATAGCACTCGTGGTGGAAACTCAGGGATATCCCACAGGTTGCATATTGATTTGACAATACTTGCGGATGATACAAAAATATTCATAGTAATTAAATTGACTGTTGTGAAGAGCTGCAAAAGAATCTCAGAATACAGACTAACCAGCCAAAGAAAAGAAGGTGAAACTCTACATCGGTAAATGTGAAATAATGTGCATTGGTGAAACAATGCCTGCCGGCACAATGTCAATCTTGAACTTAATTCAGCAAAGGTGTTAGTGGACCTGTCTTCTGAAAGCATGAAAACAAGTTCAATACAAGTCAAAAAGGCACAGAGAACATTAGGGTTTATTTTTAGATGACTACAGAATAATGTATAAGATATTAGGATGTCACTAAATAATTAAATGGAGAATCTGACATCTTGACTACTGGATGCAGTGTTGGTCAACCTATCCCAAAAAAGGACTTAAAGGTCTGGAAAAAGTACACAGAAGAGCAGCAAAGATTGTGAGAGACAAGGAGAAACTAAACAGATTATCAGCTTGGAAAAGCAAGGAGCGAAGGGGCACTATGAAACAGTTCTCTAAGGTCATCAGTGCCAGAGTGGTGACATTCATTATTGCTAGTATTACAAGAACCAGAAGCATCAAATGAAAATATCAGGCAGCAAAAAAAGTCCACTAAAAATTAGCAGTCTCATTTAAGAGCTCAGCTTTTGCTCTTCACTTTTTCATCAGTTATACTAATTCACCACTCACTCACAGTAGGCTCCACCTGCCTCTATAGTGTAATAGCAAAGTGCAAATAGCTAGCAAAGGAAGGATGCAAATCCTTTTGGCCTTGCCAAAATGTAACTTTAGCGATAAAAAAGGACAAAGGCTCAATACCTCTGACTTACTCGAACAGTACAGACATTTAGACAATAATGAATAGAGCGTCCACTTTCTTTAATACCTTACACAAACCGTGCTTTCCTGAAAGCTTTTCTACTGTTGACAGTATGACAGCCGAGTTGTTAGAGATAAATGAATGTAAATAAAAAAATTTACACGCTATAAACCATCCAGTGAAAGAAGACATTGAGAAAAATATATTCTCTTCATAAAGTGAAAACATAATAGCATATTGCAATAAATTTCTTAAAGGCAAAAATAAGCATACGTCTTGATTCACGTATCTATCTTTCTTATATTTCATAAAAACAATAGTGTATGTTACAGAAATATTATTACAGTTATGAGGTCAAGCACGCACAAGCTATCACCTAATTCGTCATGATGAATAACGGCACAATTATTCATTGTACAATCAGATACCGTGTTTCTCCACCAGACTCAGCCACGTCCCATTCACAGAGTGAATACTGCTCACTTCACAGCTAGCTGTTCAACGCTTGGTTCCAGCCTTATTGTTCCTGGCTTGGCACATCCCTTATCTTTCCCACAGTGTTCAAATCCTGAAAATGAAATTGGTAGTTCCCTTCTGGGTTTTTCGGGGGGCACTCGACATCATTTGTTTTTACCAGATTTTCCACTTCACAGCTAGTGAGCTGAGCCCAGAGAGGTAATAACAGAAGCATCTATTAATTCAGGAATGCTGAACTGTAGATATCTTGGGTATAATATTCCACATATTTAGTCTTACATACCACAAGAAAATATAGATTGGTGGTCAATGAATTCAACTCTCTTTTTCAAACCATCAGCTAAGGTCACTCAGTAGAAAATATATTCACCTGGCATCATCCAAAATGTAGATTGTAAAGAAAAAAAGGTTCTCACAGGGACTGGCAATATCAACTCTGTAATTCTTGGAAGAGGAAAATTAAGGAGATTTATTTCTAGTAGCCTCAGATGTCATTTTTTGAAGAAAATATTTGCTTTTCTAAAAAAAGGGCAATAGCATTTCTGGAGAGGTATGGAGTTTATAAAAAAAAAATAACACCAAAATGACACTTTTAATTCTCTTTTTTTTTTTTTTTTTTAAATTGGCAGCTCCACAAAGGATTCAGTATTGGTCTAGTGATTTCTGTACTGTCTACAGCTAGGAAAACAGAGGCAGTATATTTATTCCTTTGGGGAAAAGAGCGTTCCGTGTTACAATAAAATGTCTTTGACCAGCAATGACTGCCAGGACAGGCTTGAGAGATATATATCCAGAAGGATCAGTGAAACTAGTTTGAAAAGCTAGCAGGGAAAATGATAGGACTGGATAAACAAGCGTGTTTTTAGTTTTCATGTGATGCTCACTGTTGTTGAACGCTGCGGTTTCAAGAAGCGTCTCTCCAAAATCAAAGATGATTATGCCAAGACTGAATCCAAGCACCAAACTACTCCTCAACTAAAGCCTGACAAAGGCACATCATGGAAAATTGGTCATCACAATAAGATACAAAGCCGCTGTGAAAAATAAAACATACCTTCCAGTGTTGTCCATAGACCAATATATGTTTCTTAGCAATATCCAGTCGGTTCCAGGCCAATGCCAAATCTAGCTGATCTGAAGCAGATATATTTGTGCCTAGGAAGCAAGGAAAGCATCTAATAGCTCTCACACATTAAAGTTATTCCTTTGCTGTGAATGGGTAAGCCAAGGGAGCTATACGTCAGATGAAAACAGGTGTCGTATTCTCAGATAAGTACCTTTCAGGAGTGCGGTCAGAATTGCCAAATCAATGTCCTGCCGTTCCTCAGACTCCGCATCAAATATGGTTATCTGGTAGAAGTGAAAAGTACGTTATTTGAGATGGGGCAGACAGGCTTGAGGTTATTTCTTCCTGGTAAGGGTTGTGGTAGATTAAATCGCACAGATGTCAGCACAAACACCGGCAAAGGGCCCATACCTGAATATATCTACTTTGTTTCAGTAAGAAATTATATCATTTTGCTTTTTAATGCAATGGCATTGCAGGCAAACTGACATCAAACTACTGCACAATAACATGAGCTTATGTCCTTTTGGTCAGTTTTCAAAGCTGAGAAATGTAAAAATGCAGTAAGACTGACATCTACTCAGTTTTCAACTAGAAAACAGTCTTAGACACTCAAATATAATAAAACATACAAAAAATATAAAAAATACAAAAATTTATTAAACCATTTCCATTTTACTGTCCATTGCTACAACTGACATGACTTTCGTAAGGAACACTTAGTATCCCCAAATGAGTACCTGAGCCACTAAACGTGCCAGCGCATTTCAAAAACCTGGTTACCCTAGAGACAAATTTTAGCAAAATTCTGAGTCAAAGAATGGATGGATGCATTTCTAAACTACAAAGACACTAGTAGAGAAGGAAAAAAAAGTAAAAATCACTTGATCTTTACTATGAAAACAAAGATGTCAGCCTTTTTGCCAAAAACACAAAGACTGTCATTTCATAAGCAACCACTAAGACTTGAGAAGTCAACTAAACAGCTTCTGTGGAACGACCTACTATACACTGTAGTAAAACAAAGAATACACAAATCAGTTACTGGTGCTTTAAAAAAGAAAAAAAAAAAGGAAGAGAACTCATTTCATGTTGCCTTTTCAGGAGTTTTGACCAAACACACTAAGCTTCCTTTCCCCTGCAGTACATGGCTTGCACTGAAACCAGCAGAAATGCACATAGGAGCACAGACGCTCCCTTGTCATCTCTATATCAGAGATAAGGCTATTATTTTGCAGCCACCGAGCCCAAGCAAGCCCATTAGAGAAAGAGCAAAAAGGGTAACAGCGAACAAAGATATCTTAAAATCAGCATGCGAGCCCTACTCACGGATTCCCTGTGCTCCATGCACTCCATCAAAATGTGACATAGGTGGTTGGACTGTTTCTGCCCCAAATTAAAGGTGTTCTGAATCATTACTAAAACCTCCTCCTTCACATGAGGGCGCAGCTCCCTTAAGAACAGACATAAAAGCAAGAATAAGTATATTTTTGGCCATTTCATCCCACCCCAAATGACACCTCTGCCATAAAAGAAACCTGTGCTAAGCAGAGACACTTGAGAAACCTCTTTTACTTTCATTTCTCTGTTTACTTATTCCTCCTTTCTTTCAACAAAACACAGTAAAGGCATCACATAACATAAATTATTATTTACATAGCCATTACTTCTGACCACACACATAAACCATTAGAAATCAAGAAAAGAAAAAGTTAAGCGTTTCCAAAGGATTATTTATGAATACACAGCTAAAAAAACATTTTAAGTTTTGTAATGTTTTTCTCTCTTTCAGTATCCCAGCATCTGCAGCTGACCAAAGGCTCTGGGTTGCTGAGGCTGCACTGGAGGTGGCAGAAGGAATCACAGCTAGACAGGATGACAAATACAGGGCATATTGGAATACATCTGAAATATACTAGGACCTAAACCAAGGCTAGGGAGCACTGGTCCTCTTCCTATTTGAGACTGAGGCACCCATAGCCAATAATCCCAGCCCTAGTCTCAAAAGCTTTGTGTAACCCAAGCCCAAGCCCAGCTTTTACAATCCTGACAAGAGGGATGAAAAGATCGGGCCAAAAGCAGAGCAGGTATCTGGGGTCTCCCAACACCATCCATAGCCAGAAGCTAGAAACATTGAAATAACTCAGAATAGCTAGATGCAGTTTCAAAGTTTTCCTCTTGAGAAAAGCCTACTAATTTTGGCAGGATAGTTTTTTTAACACTGGGCTGAGGCAGAGAAGGAAGTAGTACTGTTCTTACTTCAGAGAAGTAAAAGCCAGCAGAAGCCCACAGCAAGGTCATTATAAGAGGCAGTAATCTCTTATCGCTCCAGTTTGGAGACAGGCATTTTCAGGTCCCTCCCAATATTGCAAACCAAGCAGGAGGTGCAGTATGCCACTACTCACCCTATATCACCCGTGTGTTTGTGGGTAAAAGCCAGGATATCTGCAGCTCTGCCAGTGCCCTCACAGACCACCACGGGGACAGCTGGACTGGCCCTCACGTACTCCCACACCATTAGGATCACATTGGGGCCTCCTTCCACCACCAACCCAACTACAGGTACACCTTGGCCCATTCCTGTTTCAAAACACACCTAACCAGTTACAAACAGGTCTTGGTTAAAACAAAAAAAAACACATCAGAATGTCTCATCAGTGAATACTTATGAAGGAATCTCACAGTAACTTCATGGTTAAACGGAGAGGAAATCACACCTTCACCATCACTTATATTTTTTAAGACCAACTTTCACAGAACAGAGCAAAAAGGTCATGAAAACCTCATGATGCAACTGTAAGCAGCCCTAGCATTGGAAAGGAGAAGAAAGCCCATACTACACAAAATATCCTTCTTCTGCACTTCACAATAGCTCGCACACATACAAGGACACTGATGCTGTTTGAAATGTGGTCCATATCCATTTGCTTGCCTATATACACAGAAAAGCAATTAGGCACTTTTTTGGCAGACTTTGACAAGTTTTACAGCAGCAGGGTGTTGTTTAATAATCAGAAATAACTGTCAAATAAGATGCAACAGAAATAGAAAAAACAATAGGAAATTCCAGTTACAAAAAGCCATATTAAGAAAAAATATTAGAGGCTGAATAAGAAGCTGTAAATGTGAACACATTAAAAAGATTTTGGGTAGGTTTCTAAGTCTGTAAAAACTATACCATGAGCTGATAAAGAAAGCAAGCATTCAATATTAGAACTCTGCAAATATCTGTTTAACACATATCATGATTTAAATCACTAGAACAGAAGCAGCTTTCAGAAATTGCTTATATGATCTACTCCATAAAAAGAAATACTTGTCTAGGTAATAAATAGTTTCTTTACAATTTCTATAACACAACTCAGTTACTGCATAGGCAAACAATGGAAGCGGAAGTTACAAAATCTGGCTAATAGAAACACTAACTAAAATTTCCGTTTTGCAAACAGTCTGTGTTTCTGTTCCACAGGAGGTCTGAGGTATGCAATGCAAGTACAATGAGGATAAAAGTATTATAAACAGACGGAGAAGGATTCGAGTGCTACTGAATCTGACAGTCTTACCACCTACCCAAAATGTTGGGAAATTATCTAGTGCTGATACAGAGACCACGCAAAACTGGAAAGTGAGCACATGCTCAGCACTTTCTGAATAATTTAATTTGATTAGAAGTTTCTGCAACTGAGAAACTAAAATCTGAGTTATCCCAAACACTTAATCTGAGAGTGCGCTCCTTTTCTTTTCTTCTGTTAGTCAGAGTTCACTCGAACTGAGTAACTTTCAACCCTAGTGAAATCCACGACAACTGAAGACACGCAGCATGTAACGGGAAATGCCAAGAATCCCCGTGACTTTTAGGACAGATTTTCAAACTGTGATAAATCTGACCAAGGCAGTACTCACTTGTGTGTATTTTTTGAAGTGATATGTGCTTCTCCAAATTCCTCCTGAGCATCATTTCATTCCCATACTTGCCTACTGTCCCATCATCTGCCATCAGGAAATGAGAATGCATGCTGTTGAGGGTACTGAGCTTGCTGAGTGGATTACCAAGAGTCTGGTACAGGCAAACTACCTGAGAAAATCAAAATAAAGGGATCCTCAAAGAAACCATCAAAATATTACCTTGTATATATTGCCTCACTTGAATGTATTTCTTTGTCACACTGTGTGGAAGTCTCCACTTATGCTTCCTGCTGCTCTAATCAAGCACGGGTTTTCATTTGATTCTTAACAGCAAAAAAATATAATTAATACCACAGAAAGCATTTATGATTAGGCTCACAGTCCTTAGTGGGGAGATGAGTTACTGCCTGCCTGTCTTTGTAACAGCTGAAACATAAAGGCATATTTTTCCCTGTTGTATTTCCACTAAGAAAAATATGAGCTCTCGTTTACACGGAATGATTTTGCCCGTAGTTGTCAAGTGTGTTTAAGCAGTTATGTAGATTGTATCCTCACATTTTCACTCACAAAAAATTCCAGTTGATGAATAAAAATTATGCATTTTAATAGCCTATTTGCATTCACCATTAACCTGTTTGCTTATCCTCAATCACATGACTGTCAAAATACATCATGTGCATGCACGAGACAATCGCCTAGTTAACTACAAAGTTTCAAAAAGGAATGCCAATTTCCTATGAGAAGAGAAACATTTTAAAACAACTACTTACAGATGAAAAGCAAAACACAGAGCCTCCACATGCAATAGAATTCAATTGCTGAGCATAACCTAAGATTTCTTTTATTGACAACAAAAATCGAACCAATGAAGCGAAGCAGGCAGAAAATGATGTAGGTAAGAAAGCTAAAACATCCCCTGAACATGAAGGTTTTTGCTAGCCAAATGTGTCCAACTCACATCTTTTCCAATGAGGTCCCTCTGGTTCTCAAGGATGCCCCACGGAGGGATCCCAACAGCGCAGATCTTCCGCAAGTACGGGGAGGCATGGCCTTTCAGCGCATCCCCCACATGCCTAGACACTCCTAAACACATAAGTAATCATCACTTTTCTGCTGCACTTGGATTCCTGATACAGGACACCAGTGAAAGGGTTTTTCATTATTTACTTTATTCTACGGTTATTATTTCTGTTCAAAATAAAACTCCTCACTCGTACATTTGACATGTACTGCAGGTATAGTAAGGTTCAGATGTAATGCACCAAAGTCAGCATGTATTTGTCTCTAGTACTATTCATATGTGTTGCTAATGGATCTATCTACCCACATAAAGACCTTATTATTTATATAAATATTCTCAGAAATAAGACTGAAACTAATGCCTTTGTTAGTATCTATAATAACATATAATACTTTGCTAATATATACTTATTATTACTTTATGCTTAATTTTTTAAACTGATTTTCATGTTTAACCATTTCAATTACTTTCATTGCACATTAAAGTTAGTACACTACACTTTTAGACTCTATTCTACCAAACATAACTTCTCACTCTTTTGGAAGACCTTAGAATGACAAACTAAGAGCAAAAAGAAAAGAAAAAAAACACAGAAAAAAAGATCATCTGAAGCATCCAAACATTCTAAAAGACATATTGGGATTTAATAAAGTTTTAAGTTAATGGGAAATAGTGATCTTTTCCATTTTTTCAATTCCTGTATGTCTCTATTTTTGTATTCAGCTAATTGAATGAATCTTTATTTCTTCTTGAGCTTGTTACTCCTTGCAACCTGAGCTAATACACATTAAGATTTTACTGTAAAGCAGCAATGTAAAGGTCAGATTTAGTCTAATAATGAGCACCAACACTTAGAACTAAGAAACTGATAGTTTAAAAACAAAAAAAAAAGCCCTCACACAAACAGAAACGTGTTTGAATGGCTTTGAACAAGTCAATTTAAAAAAAAAGTTTCATTTGTAGTTTTAGCTTACAGTTTTCAGATCATTCCTTCATCAAAAAGGATTAAATTAATCTAATAATGAATGCGCTACTTTTCAGCACATCCTTCACATTGTTCAAAACAAGAGGATTTTCTATATGATACAATCCTTCGTATGAGTGTCATGTCATATCCTGATTGCTTTACTGCTTCCAAGATGGCACAAAGCATAACCAAGCACCCCAGGTCATCTATCAGGTGTAAATGCAAAACCTCCCTGATGTACAGGATAGTATCCTTTAAGGCCACATGGTTGAATATCAGCCAAAAAAATAAGATTTTTTCAGTTCCTTGGCTTACTGAGCACTTCAGCTTCTGTGTGTAGTCTAGGGAATTTCAGATATTGTCAGGCCAGTTAACGGATTATCATAATTTAAAACTTTCTTAATTATAAAATAGGAACTAAATTTAGATTTGGAAACTGTTTTAAAGATGCTGATCACAGTCCTCAGAACCTGAATGTTTTAAGGCAGTAGATGAAATCCACTGCAGTGTAAGTTCTGGTTATCTACTATCAATTAGCACTGTGCTTCTTATAACATGCACAATACTCTTTCCTCTTTTAATAAAAAATGCTAAAAATACTCAGAATGCCAGCCAACAGCAGAGCAATCTGATGTCACTCTTTGCATTATGCACTACTCCTGAAAAAAATTCCTTTATTTCACGCTGGAATATCTTAAATTATCATACAAACAGCTACTTTGTATTTGCCCTAATTGCTCATATATGATGAAGACTGAAACAAAGAAAAAGAATTATACTACCGCTATTGATGCCTTCCGTAATTATCCATGCTCCCGTAGTCTCAGCAGCCTTGACCAATCCTTTGCTGAAAACCTGTTTGACCTTTGAGGGAAGCTTGAAATTTTGAATGCCTCCATGAACAGAGATCACTAGTTTTGGCAATTCCATCTGCCACTCTTTAACCATCAGGTGCAACAGCTGGTCCAAATTGCTATCATAAGAGAGTCTAATATACTGGAAGAAATAATCATGGGTAAAATAAATATCTTTTAAATATTTCAGGTGAAGAAAATGAAATATCTGAGAAAGTTCTCAGCTCTAATGTCTTAAAGATTTTGTGAAACGTTAGAACCTTTACAAATAAAGACAAATATTAATGTGATAGCATAAAAATATATCAGCGAGCCGTACAGAGAGCAAGTCAGGTTACTCTTAATCTCAGTGAAGCTCAACATAAGAATATTGTATACCCACTCAAATTTGAGTTATTTGTACGTTATCCTGTTCTTTCAGGACTAACAATTCACCCAACCCCACTTTTTGCCTTTCTTACACCAAAATTTAAAAAAGCAGGACATATTACCCAACACCTATTAAAAGTTAAATTAAACCCAAACCTTGGCATGGTAAGTATGATCTCCATCTTGGAAGTTGATCGTCCCAAATGCATCAGTTGGACTCGTCTTTGTGTGTTTTTGCACAGACCATTCTTCATCGCCTCTCTGCAGGGCAGCCTGATAGACTGGCCAGCTACAGTCTACTCCTGGGTGATCTCCAATCAGCCGTCCACAGCAACATCTCACATTAAAAATGAAGAAATGATTTTATATCATATGCACTAGCACATGGCTGTAGGATCTTGATCAGAATAGCCCAAATAGTTTTCTTGCAAAGATGGATTCTCTACCTTTCTGACACCAAATACAACAAAAATGAACTCAGATGAAAAAACTCACCAATGGCAAAATAGCATTGAATCATAAATATGTTTTGATAGATACATGATTTTTTTATACCTGGGGAACACCAATAACAGTTTGACAGTCCCACCAAGTAATTCTGATCTGAGTAATGCAGTTCAGATTTATTGGGGTCATACGTGAGCCTTAAGAAGAATATTTTGGGACATCAAGACTTTTTTGTGGTTATGACCACAGGCTATTGTAGGTATTGAAGAAGATCTTGGAGTTACGGTCTTTAATCAGGATGAGAGAAGCGACATTAAGTCTACAGAGAAATGACCTTTATACTAACACCTGGACACCAGCAAATTGAATATATAAAATAAATTGACTGAAGTGCAACGTTAATGGAAATTTAGCAGATGTTCAGTTAGCTTTAAAACCTTGCAAGAGGATGAATAGCCTGGGCTCCAAATTCAATCAGTATTACTGCTATACAGGTTCTGACAGGCTTCGGACTGTTTTGCAGGATTAACTTTAATGTAATTTATAATGACACCTGACACTCCCGTTTCCCTTTAAACATTTTTGATGTTCAAATACTCTTGGGAAATTTAGAGAAATCCTTCTCTTCTACTCTGTGAGACATCAAGCAGCCTCCAACCTCCCAAACTGAATGAATTCCTTGGGACTCTGAAACATTACTTGTGGATCTAGGAGCAGATTAGAGGTAAACTCGATCTGCAAAACCCTGCAGAGGTAAAATGCACAAGGACAGAACATTTTCTATGGAGATTACAGAGAATTAACCGGTGCCAGACAAATGGATCAAAAAAAAAAAAAAAAAACTTAAGCAAATTAAGCAGGTTCACTGTTTTAAAAGGGCACTTTATGAGATCCAGAAAACAAATTTTATCTTTGCACTCCAGTTTTTCAGCACAGGCAAATAACATTTGATCTATTCAATGCTCTACAAAGGCAGACTAGAGAAGGGAGGCATCCCACTGTCTTGAAGAATTAATAACTCAGTTAAGCAACCTTTTTCCGTAGAGAATTAAAGAGCTGTTGAAACCTGGCACTGCAGAAAACTACCATCAAAATGTCAGCACATAAGAACTACCTCACATGTTGTTTTGCCTTACAGAGTCACATTAGTAGCCCTTTCTAGAGCAACATCAACTGCAGCAACCTGCCTTTTCATAGCAAAGATCCTGTGGAAAGGAACTAACTATCTCACATGACAAATCAGTGCACTAATCTTGAAAACGAGAGGGCCAATGAACACAAAATTATTTTAGTAAATAGCGTTTGCACTGCATGCTTAACGTTTAAACACAAATGCACACAGGGATCAGCGCATTTGCAGATTGCCTCAGTTACAGTGAGCAGCCAGTGGAGGACTGCCCATGGACCTAACACACGCACTGCAGGGTGTATACACCCGCTTTCAGACCTAAGATTACCATACCATTTGAGTATGAACTCAAAAGGACTGGTATTTCCCAAAGAGTCTGCTCTGCTCCAAGTTGTCACGCTCTCTCTAGGCACCTAGCAGGAAAGGAAAAGGCACAAGTAACTCCTGAGCTATCTGGAAGGTCAAAAGCTGAGACCAGTAAGCTTTCAGGAAGAGTGAGGAAATCAAATCACAACATTATATCGAGCAACTTGTATTTTGCTGTAATTCTTTGTGCTGTATGTTTAGTGACAGGGCTCAAGAAGAAGAGGAGCCAGCAGACAGGGTGAGGAGCGAGTGAGGGACTGCTCACGAGCACTCGCCGCACGTAAGTCCCTGGGACCCAATGGGCTCGCCGC